GACCCCGCCCCAGCAAGGCCTCAATCTCCTGTTGATGAGCTCTGGGAACGGGGGAGGGGAGCTGCTGTCCCCGCCTACAGTCTGGTGTTTGCCACGGTCTCCCAGCCCGCTATACATGACTGCTCAATCCAAGACCCTAAGTACAAACATCCAAAAGATTCCTGATACCATGCAGCTTGAAGGACTGGGCTTAAGAATCTGGAAGTTCCACCAGGAGGAGGCAGTATTGCCTGACCTCTCCCCCCAAAACGGCTTTGTCATGAAGTCCTGTTACACAGATACCATTAAATCCATGTGACACAGATGAGAACAAGGCTCCTAGAAATTCTTCATAAATGTCGAGACCTTAGGAGTCCCACTTCATATAGATCTGAATGTCTGAGTGTAACCTTTCCAGAGACTAACAAAGGCCTTTCAGTATAAATGATCCTCCAAGGAATTTTAGGTTGAGTATGGTGGTATACGCCTGTAACTCTCAAAAAACTGAGGCAGGAGAATTGAGAGTTTGCGGCTATCCCGGACTACATAGTGACCATGCTTTTGGAAAGAATTCTGGGAGAGATGAGCAGTATGAAGAGGTGGCTTATAGGTTAAAAGCAGTGACTGCCCTTGCAGAGGACCCAGGTTCAATTCCCAGCACCTACATTATGGCTTACAATGTCTGTAACTCTAGTTCCAGGGGATCCTGTGTCCTCTTCTGGCCTACATTGGCACCAGGGACTCAAGTGGTGCATATAGATAGATAGATAGATAGATAGATAGATAGATAGATAGATAGATAGATAGATAGATAGATAGATATGCAGTGCAGCCAAAACACCCTTATACATAAAGTATTTTTAATTAAAAAAAAAATCCAGGAGAGGGACTGGTGAGAAGACTTAGTGGACAAAAGTGTTTGCTGCCTGCTGACCTGAGTTTGATGCCCAGAACCTACCTAAAGGTTGAAAGAGGACTGGAGCGGTGGCTCAGAGGTTAAGAGCACTGGCTGCTCCTCCAGAGGTCCTGAGTTCAATTCCCAGCAACCACATGGTGGCTCACAACCATCTATAGTGGGATCTGATGCCCTCTTCTAGCATAAAGTTGTACATGCAGATAGATGTATATACATAAAAATTTTTAAAATCTTTAAAATAAATAAGGGGCTGGAGAGATGGCTCAGAGGTTAAAAGCACTGGCTGCTCCTCCAGAGGTCCTGAGTTCAATTCGCAGCAATCACATGGTGGCTCACAACCATCTACAATGAGATCTGGCGCCCTCTTCTGGTGTGCAGGCATACATGCAGATAGAGCACTCATACATAAAATAAATAAATCTTTAAAAATAAATAAATGAGTAAATAAATAAAATAAAGGTTGAGGCGCCGGGCGGTGGTGGCGCACGCCTTTAATCCCAGCACTCGGGAGGCAGAGGCAGGCGGATCTTTGTGAGTTCGAGGCCAG